CTAATTTGCTGTCGGTGACCGGAAAATCAGTCTTATAGAAACGAAGATATTAAAAAAATAGATAGAGGAGGCATTGTTTTTAAAATATATTTGATCTTAAACGTATATTATTATTGTTGTAAAGGGACATAACTTCATGTAAGACTGGTATCAAGGATAGGAAACTCAATCAAGTGTTAGATGACCGAACTGTGTCGTATTTGTTACCTTCATGCTCCAAAGCATCGGTAGCAGTTTACGTGTATAAATAATGAAATACATTATACATAAATCTAAATAAAATCCCACGTAGAGTTGGCGATAGGCAGGCGACCGGCCGCAATAAATAGTGCCAAATCCTAAAGTAGGTTTTTGATGACTGAGATGACGTATGATAAAGTTGTTTTGAGGACAAAAACCTGTTGCGCCAACTCTACGGGAGTAAGATAGGGAGGATGATGATGATGGAAAGTAATGAAATACACTATATAGTTATCTTTCATGGAATTGAATAGTTATTACTCTACAGTCTATTACATCACGTATTTCAAAACATTCTAATAGAATATTTAATATCAAGTTTTATAGACTAGTAATTGTTATGTAGTGACATTCAATGAATGACAATTACAGTCACCTGTACCAACTTATCTGTAGCTCATATTCCCTTGTCATAAGGTTCACATCACCCTAGCCGTTTGTCGTAGACAAGTCCGTTCACACGAGCGTTGACTAGAAAGTCTTGTTGGAAAATGAAAGTGCTCCTATAAACTCCGTTAGTTATTCCCACAAGTGAACAAAAACATACTATCTACGTCTATGAGTATAGTATGGTTACTGGGATTCTTACTGTAGGTTTGACCTTGAACTGAGATTGACATAGAAAGGTGACCCAACTACCATATAGGATACAGGCTAGGAAGAATGAGAAACCGTAGGTTTGACCTTCCGAAGTACGTATTTCTTTTAACAATCAGATTTAATTATCTGTGTACGCTTTAAAATACCATAAAATGTATTAAACAGGTTAAAAAGATCTTATTTTAACCATGAACTTATACAATGGTATCATGCCCTCAACCCTTTCTAATTTAGTCCGACCTATTTTCGTACGGTAGATTTTTTATCTGAGCCATGTTTAGTCGAGATTTACGTAACCTCTGCTCATTTACTGCTGTTAAAATAAATATTTAAAGTGCACGTTTTATTACAAATTGAACGCACAGATTGTTTACATTTCCAATAATGAGTAATGAAAGCAAGGAAGTACTCTATCGGATTAGTTAAACGGATATAGAAATGTGCATTTTATGGTTTTTCGTATCTCAAGATGTTTGAATCATGTGATGAAAAATAAATGCCCTTTTTAAACTTCTGTATTTTACACTTAGAACTATTGATCCCGCCAGAATGGCGCGTTATTTCAATATGTCTGAATGACATTGACAGCTGTCATAGGGATGGGACGTCTATGCTAATAATCTAGTGTTGCACCAATCCTACAGCGCTGTAGTGATTTTTCGTCCGTACACTAATATAAATCTGAGACTGTAAATAAATCGAGCATTTAATAGATCAAGTATTTCGCAATAACTCGATTAGTTAAGACAACTTTACAACTATGCGACAACTATGATCCAGCTTTATCTCCGTGATTTATTAAGCAGTTTGTACCAGAATTTGAGATACAATTTCTGAGATATTTCAACCATAGAAACTATTTTAATTTTAAGGGTTTTTGTTACCCAATTAATTGACCGATTTACAGGAACGTCAGTTACTGGTGTACATTACTCCAAAGTACTCGTAAATATCTTTTTAATCTATACTATTATTATAAAGAGGAAAGATTTGTATTTTTGTATGTATTGAAAAAACTCAATAACTAGTAGGCCAATTTAAAAAATTCTTTCACCATTAAATAGCGTTGTTATCATTGAGTAACATAGGCTATTTTTTAATTTCGCAGGACGTAGTCGCGGCCAATAACTAGTTATTTGTTAATGAATTGAATAAGTACCGTCTAAATCTAAGGCAAACTCTTTTTTTAAAGTGAGTATTGAATACAATATTTATATAGTAAATTGTTAAAAAATGTAGTTACTATATTACTATTGTTATATTTATAGCAAGTTTTGAGTTTTAACAAATTGTGATCGTGGCTTTAAATACTAAATTGCTAATTTGCGATTCAATTCAGCCATAATTGGTAGCACAGAGTATAACAACCTCTTTATTGGGCTGCGGTCACATCGCATTCAATTGTTCGTTTAATTTATTCGAGGAAATACGTAGGTAGGAAATTTATGGACACAGCCGAATTAGGATGTGGTACGCGGTTTGGTCATCTAGGACACCTGTAGTGTACTGAATGTTGGCCTAGCTCGTGTTATTAAAACAAATTCTACGATATCAGTATATTAAAAGCATGGCTGTTGCTCGCGACTTCGTCCCCGTGAATTTAGAATGTAATAAAAAATTGCCTCTGTTACTGAAAACGTAGCTTTTTAATGGTGAAAGAATTTTTGCAAAACTTTGCAATCTTTGAATTGCAAATTTTTCCTCTTTATAATATTAGTATAGGTATTTCGTTTATGTAATTAAATATGAAAATCGCCCTAATGAAACCCTAATTTATCTTTGTTAATAGTTTTATTTTAAATTGAAACCGGCCCATTAGTTTTTGAGTTATTTCAATACATACAAAAATTCAAATCTTTCCTCTTTATAATATTAGTATAGATTATTCTATGTTATTTCTCTGAGATCTGTGAACATTATCGTCGTATCGTGTACCGGAGAGACCGCAAGAAATTTTTCCCGTGGAACTGTAAGGAAGATCGGTTAGTGTGGTGTTAATATTAAATTACAAGGCTCATATCGATTGTGATTTATATTGCACTGATGCATAAATACCGCTAACTTCCTGTATGGAAAATGAGGGTTTCATTTTCTTTAAAGGATATAGTTTTTAATCGATTTAATCAGAATATTAGAGTCTAAATTCCAATTAATTAAGGTAACTTCCGCCGTTACTTGTTAGTCATTTTTTTGGGACGTAATATAATACGATAGTATACAGTTAGTAGAACCTAAACGTTTATGGAATTATTTGAACGTGGGCGTTGTTAAATTTATCCAATGCCAGATACTTCAGATAACAATCTCTATTTCCTTTACATCTAAAATTAAATAATTGTACACCTGAATGGTCTTTAGTCAGTGGGCGTGTTGTACCGAACAGATGCTTAACTGTCCTATACAACCGTAAATCATAGTATGTCATATTAATATTATAAATGCGAAAGTTTAGATGGATGGATGGATGTTTGTTAGAGTTTGTAGCCTAAAGGGCTGAACGGATCTCAATGAAATTTGGTATAGATATTGTTAGGAGTAAAATTAGTACTATGCTGTAGAATTGGCGCAACTCTAGATTATCGGCATAAACGTCACGTCCCTAGCTGACAGCTGTCATTGTCACTAGAAGAGATAGATTGGCGCGCAATCTGAATCCTAACGAGAAGTGTTGCTCTGAGTTTAAAGCGACAGTATCAATTAAATAAGTTGTCTAAAAATATAGAGGATAGTGTGGAAGAACAAATAATCTATTCACTTTTGTTTTTTTTTATTCCACGCGGACGGAGTCGCGGGCGAAAGCTAGTCTGATATAATTTAGTTTATTGTGTAGATACTATGTACAGTTATGGATATGCGCTGTGTTCATCTTACAGAAAAATTCCCTTGTTCCTTGTAACGGGAACGCTGAAATCATATTTCGCTGAAAGATTTGAGAATACCGAGATACGATTATATTTTTACGACGAGATACGATTTAAAGAATTGAAAAATAACTAGTAAGATGTATGCAGGTATATTTTCAAAAGTAAAAGTCGTTAAATCTTTACATATGCAGTCCTTAATATGGGTATGTGATACTAAATCTACACTTAGCGATGTCGTCGCCATCAGCAGTATTTTGTCGTGAATCGACTGTTAAAGCGTGCGCACACCTGAAACTAATCTATCGCAACTGTTTAGCTTTGATTCCTATGAGCTTATATGGAGGCGCGCCTTTAAACAGTTGGCTGCGAAACAATCGACAATCGCACAACAGTTGCGCGTTGGTTTAGTCAAAGTTGTGCGCACGCTCTACGGGTAATGAATAAGCAATGTATTAGTTAACTAAAAAGCTGTTAGTACCTGATGTAACATTCAACATGAATATCAAAATGTCATTTTGTATTACCGAATACTGCATGTAATCATTTCTAATTTCTGTGAAAGTTACAATTTCTTTAAGCGTACTTGAAGATATATTGCTAAAAGAGAAAATGTAAATTTGTATTTTCGGATTTTTGTATGTATTGTACTCAAAAACTACTGGACCGATTTCAATTTCTTGCACCATTAAAAAGCTACGTTATCACTGAGTAACGTAGGCTTTATTTTTACTATTCTTTCAAATTCACGCGAGCAAAGTCGCGTGCAACAATTACTTGCTGAATAATTTTTTTTTT